GGGGCGGAATATGGTAGTTGGGCTTAAAACTGTATCTTCAATAGGATGCTCAGGCCCCATACAGCTTAGCATTAAGAAAAGATACTGCCATATCCTGTGGTATTGTTTCACAGGGAAATCATTGGTCAAACATTTAAGTAAGTACAGGGTTAATATGCACTAAATAAACTCCACACTTCTTTATGTCCCATGTTATGTATGCTTTTATATATGGTTTTGTTTGGGTTTTCATAGCATCATTCTGGGGATTTTAGAGTATCTATAGAAGTGCTTCGGAAAAAGGAAAGTAAAACATGGATATGTTCAACAACACATTTTGCAACTTGCAGGCCATTGCTTTAGTACATTTCTTGGGTTTGGTGTTTGTTCATACTTTGTTGGAAATTTATCTTTACACACTTAAAACCCGTATATATTTCTTTGAAGCTCACAGAAAGTTAATTTTTTAAACAGGGACAGTTGAAGCAGATAGTATTCCCCTTTGTTTTTAACAAAATTACCATTTCTTTAAACAATTATCAATAAGCCTATGAGAAGGAATTATAGTTTTACATCAATTGTTGAAATGCACAGCTTCTGCCACATTGTACCCTTATTCTTAGGCATTAATATAGTTTTATTACCAGTACTTATAAGGGAGCTGTGTTGTTTTTTAATTGTGCCTTTTGCTGTTTTTGCAAGTTTATCATTGTGTAAAATAACTTCTTTCTTTCTTAAGGGAAGTCAGTCAGCTTGGTTTACAGTAGTGGCTTCCAACTTCCTTCCTGTGCACATTACCTCCTTGGAGAAGGCAGACGCTATATATCAGAAGCACGCAGGTGATATATTACTCAAGGTGAGGCGACACACTCTGATGATTGCATGGTTAGGTTAGCATACACCTTGATAGTCCCACAGCTCTGCTAAGAAAGCCTTTGTTAGAACCATCTTTGTTATACCATCAGCTAGCTCTCCCGTCACCTTGTTCTCCTTGAGGATTTGGCTATGAAGTGAAGTGCGCCCTGTAAGAAAAGGGATGTTGGGCTGATCCTAGAATAGCTACTGAGCTGTGTTTTCCCTAGACTACACTGTCCAATATGGTACCCACATGTGGCTCTTAAATTTAAATTAATTAAATAAAATTTAAAATTTAGTTCTTCAGTTGCACTAGCCACTTTTCAACTGCTCAGTAGTCACATCATTGCAGAAAGTTTCATTGGATAATGCTGAGTGAAGAGAAGTTACAGATTTTCTCACAACTGGGGGGTGCTACTGGCATCAAGTGGGTAGAGACCAAGGATGATGCTAAACATTCTGCAGTGCACAGGACAGCCCCTCACAACACAGAATTACCTGGTCCAAAATGTCAGTACTGCCTCCACAAACATAATACGTAATATATGCCTCTCACCACATTTCTTACCTTGCACTTGGATTACTTGTTATTTCCACCTTCTGATTTCTTTGGGGGACGGGACTATACTGTAACATCTATCTTTATCTCCCTAGTGCTAAACACAGAGACATCTGTTAATAAACTAGAGGCCCGGTACACTGATTCATGCACCAGTAGGGTCCCTCGGCCTGGCCTGCACCCTCTTGCAATCCGGGACCCATCGGGGGATGTCAGAGAGCCAGTTTCAGCCCGATCCCCGCAGGATAGGCCAAGGGACCCACCAGGCCTCTAGTATGCACATAAGATCTTTGGTTAATCTCTTCCCACCCTCTCCCCTCACCCTCTTCCCTCTGAGATTCATCTGTCTGTTCCATGTTTCCATGCCTGTGGTTTCCACTCCTGCGTTGAGCGTCTGCCCCCTGATGGTCAGTGCGCGTCATAGTTACTGGACAGTCGGCAGGTTGGCTGGTCACTTAGGCTTTTATATATATAGATTACTATCCAGTCACTTCCAATTCATGGAAACATCTGTAAGCATAGACGCTGAATCTTATATGTGTACCCTTGACTTGTCATGAGGCAGGGATTAATCTTTGTGGGTAGCTAGGACTCTAAGAGCTAACGTATTTGGAAAGATGTTGCCTTAATTGTCCAACATTACTCTTTGTAGAGCTGTATAGAGGGCTGTAAAAATAGTGTAAACTAATAAAGTAGATCCTGCTATCAGGAGTCACCACCCACATGTGACCTTTGGCACTGGGAACTATAGGTTTCCTGTGCTCTTCATTTGACTAGAAGTGATTTGGGGCTTTTTCAACCATTAATGTTTAAAGGATTTTATTCTTGATCATGTACAGAATTACCTTATCAGTGCTTTACTTTATATTAGAGTTATAGGGAATTTAATTTGTACTTCCAAACATCTTCATTTTATCTCAATGAAAGGTTCCAATGGGTGGAAAAGAGCGAATGGCAGAATTTCCTCCTCTTGTTGCTGAAGACATTACATTAGAAGAAGGACTTGGGAAACCTGAAGCAGTGGCTGACATCAAGTTTTCTTCTGCAGGTAATTTTATACCAAGCACTTTTTTTTAATGTTTTTATTGATTTTAGAGAGAGAGAGGAAGGGAGATGGAGAAAGAGAAAGAAACATTAATGTGAAAGAGAAACATGGATCAGCTGCTTCCTGCATGCCCCCTACTGGGGATCTGCCCAAAACCCAGGCATGGGTCCTGACCCAGAATCAAACTGGCAACCTTTTGGTGCACAGGACGATGCCTAACCACCTGAGCCACACTGGCCAGGGCACCAAGCACTTTTTAAAAAGATGAATAAAGTGGCCTTTTTTATTAGAAATGTATCTTAACTAACATAAGGTGACTGTTCTACTGGTACATGCTAGAAAATGCAACCTCCGAAAATAAATTTGTACCTTTTCACAAATGCATGGTATGCGTTTTTAAAATACAGCGTGAAAGAACAGTAGCCTCCTCCCTGCTCCATTTTAAGCTTTAGTTTAGTGTTTTCAATAAGGTAGTTGTTAATATACCTGGCAGGGGAGATACCATGATCACAAAGGTGGTCTTCCCAGGGCGAGGGTTATCCATTGCACTCCAGATGTGCCGACCCCTGCGATTTCCCCAAATGTGGGAAACCCAACTGCATAGTTGTGATAGTGGGGGGCAAGGGGGAAGATAGTTGCCAACACCATTTTGTGTTCTGCTGTGTGCCTGCATAGGTTGGGTTGCAGTAACGCCTCAGTTTAAAGACAGACTACATCTCCGAGGCTATACACCTCAAGGAACAGTGCTGACGGTCCGGCCACCTCTCTTGCCACATATCGTTAACATCAAAGGAGAGCGCATCAAAGGAACTGTGGCCTATAAAACCAAGAAGCTTCCTTCCCTTGTGTGCAATCTGCAGAAGAAGAAAAACAGATGAAAATATGGAGTTGGCTTTGCTCGCGCTGGTATTAACTATGTAGCTATAATCAAGCTCCCCTGTGCCCACGCTTTTAACTACTCAGAACTGTGCCTATTTGTATTGAGTTTGTAACTATAAGTTGTTTTTTTGTAGGGTGTGTGTATGCATGTGTGACCCAAATATGCCTAAAAAGGAGTTCTGCTACATTCAAGTTTCTCTCACTACTGTTTTTTTATTGACACCAGATGTCATTCCTTATTTGGAGTCTGAATGAGAGTTCAACTTAGCAATTGGCATATGAAAAAGTGGCAGAAAATCAATTTCTCCAAAGTAAGATAGAAGTGAGTAGGTGGCTCTGCACCTTGTAGTCATCCAAGGATCCAACTGGTGGAATACTCCGTGGCTTCCATCTGTAGGTCTCTGGTGTTTGTTCAAGTGGCCATCCTTTTCCAGTGAGAGGGAAGAGGGACAGAGATGAAGAGCCGGCAGCTTCCCTGCTTAAAACAAGCAGGCAAGACCTGGAAGTTGCATCCATCATTTCACACAATCCATCGGTGGGTCAACAGTCACCTTGCCATACCCATCCACAAGAGAGCTGGGATGTAGAGGGAAATAGGGACCATTTCAGATTTTTATTACTGAAGGGGAGAATGGACACTGGAGAACAAGCAGAAGTTTACCTGACATGAGTTAAAAGTGTCTGAAAGATCTTAGGTACAGACGGATTCAAGTTATATCTTTCTAGCAACCATAGTCTATTCTACAACGGTCAGAGAATGTAACCATTTTAACATTTGTGTATACTGTATAACATTACATTAATCAGAAGTTTATACCTTTTATTATTCCTAGCTAAATACAATGAACAATTGGCAAGTCAAGTCCCAGATCCCGAAGTTGAGTAAATGCTAGTGGGATACATTGGCCTGAATTGCATTCAGATCCATGAATTTTCTGTTGACTCAGATTTAGCATACGTTCCCTGTCAATGTGTATCCTCTAGCCCCCTTCTCTCTAAGGCCTCTTAGAATAAGATGCAACTTGTAAAACTTTGTAGCCCTCACTTCCATTGTGTTTCAAAGTGAGTACTATTGGCATTTGGGGAAGGTAGTTCTTTTTTTTTTTTTTTAATATATTTTATTGATTTTTTTTCAGAAAGGAAGGGATAGGGATAGAGAGCTAGAAACATCAATGAGAGAGAAACATCGATCAGCTGCCTCCTGCACACCCCCTACTGGGGATGTGCGGGCAACCAAGGTACATGCCCTTGACCGGAATCGAACCTGGGACCCTTCAGTCCGCAGGCCAACGCTCTATCCACTGAGCCAAACCGCTTAGGGCGGGAAGGTAGTACTTTATGTGTAAAACTGCATTTATTAAATTCCAGTAGCAACTCCCCCATACCCCATCAGTCACTGACAACCTAAAAGTACCGCTGACGTTTCCAAACCCACCCTCTAGAGCAGCGGTTCTCAACCTGTGGGTTGCGACCACTTTGGGGGGCTAAAGGCCCTTTCACAGGGGTCGCCTAAGACCATCGGAAAACACATATAATTACATATTGTTTTTGCGATTAATCACTACGCTTTAATTATGTTTAATTTGTAACAATGAAAATACATCCTGCATATCAGATATTTACATTACGATTCATAACAGTAGCAAAATTACAGTTATGAAGTAGCAACAAAAATAATTTTATGGTTGGGGGTCACCACAACATGAGGAACTGTATTAAAGGGTTGCGGCATTAGGAAGGTTGAGAACCACTGCTCTAGAGGGCAGTAGCTTCCCAAGTCAAATTGGTGGCTGATTTCTAGTTTTTCATTATGGACAGAATGAAATACCATTAATTTTATAAGTTAAATTGTAGCCATTATATTCCTATCTACTGTTTATAGTTTGAAGCTTAGGCCTGACTCCTTAGATAGAATGAAGGAAATACTGTAAAACTGGCATTTATAGAGAAATACAGAACCTAAAAACTGATGCTATCATCAACCTGATAATTTCTAAATATGTATTTCAAAAAGCAGAACATTTCTCCCTCCTTCTCTCTAGGCTTTTAAAGTTTTGAGTGTTTTTTTATTTCAGAGAGAAAATGGGAGAGGGAGACAAGGATAGAAACATTAATGATAATTATTGATCAAGTGCCTCCTGCATGCCCCCTACTGGGGATCGAACCTGCAACCTGGGCATGGGAATCAAACCATGACTACCTCGATGCTCAACCATTGAGCCACACCGGCTGGGCCAAAGATTCCATTTTTAAACATTAATAACATATTCTCAGGTCTTTTGCCTCTAAAATTCAATGCTTTTGTTTCATAAAGTCTGACTGAGGCATATCTTAAAATGTTCCAAGGTGCTTTGTTAGGAGTTTCAAACATTACAGTTTACTAAATAAGTTTGTGTCCCTAGTTATTTTCTCACCTATAAAGTGAGGAAAGAGCAGATTTTTCTGAACCTTTTATGATTCTCAGTAAAAAGGCAGGAAATGGGTGGTTCTGAAACCTCACACAAAAAAGACCATGCCTAGACAGTCAAGGACTTCTGCTAGGATCTGGTATTAATTTACTTCATATTCTGCCAACCTAATGCAGCCCAGATCACAGCTGCCTATTCAGCTGTTCCACAGTGGATTGTGCTTTAAGAAAATTCTGTTACTATATTGGTTTCTGAGCTTTAGTCAGTTTACTGATACTTCTTAATCCATTAGTCAGAATATAAAGACTTCCCTTGAATCAGTAATCATTGAAGCTAAGTCAGGACAGCCCCCTCACTTCCACAGAACAGGTTGTTCTGAGTGACTAGAAAGCAAGTTTATATTAGGTCATTTACTTGGATCTGCAGGCCTGTGGTGTTCAGTATGTCACTTCTTTGTATTTGTGACACCTAAAAGGACAAAGTATGTGCCACTAAAGGGCTTTTTTACTTCAATGTAATATTAAACTCAGAAGTTTTTTTGTTTTAATATATTTTTATTGATTTCAGAGGGTAAGGGAAAGGGAGAGAGAGAAATAGAAACATTAATTGCTGGGCTGCCTCCTGCACGCCCCACACTGAAGATTGAGCCCGAAACCCGGGCATATGCCCTGACCGGGAATCGAACCGTGATCTCCTGGTTCTGGTTCATAGGTCTACGCTCAACCACAGAGCCACACCGGCATGGCTCAAGTCAAAGCTTTATTTTTAAAAGTTACACCTCCTTTTTCCTCCTTTAAAACAGCACCATTTTTTCCAGTTACTGAGACAAAATTAAGTTTAACACATTTTGTATTTTTAGTCACCATAAATGGCAAGCCATACGGATCTTTAGAACTTTACCATGTAGTTCCCCAGAGTCTAAATTTGTTTGTTACTTAAGACACTCACTTCCCATGGCCACTGAGAAGAAGTTGAGTACAGATGCACGCTTATGCGCTTCTGTTTTTTGATCATTCAGACACTTCTTCAAAATGGAGATCAAGACTAGTTTTCTGCAGATGACTAACTTGGAGCTTCAGCTGTGCCAGCCATGGCAGAGTTGTTATTGCCTCACTGAGTAGGCACCCAGTGCTGGGAGAGCTGTTTCGTAGACAGCCTCTGATCATTTACCCTGGCTTCCCTCCCACTTGGCTCTGCCTTGTGGAGCAATAGAATCATTTCCATTCTTTCTCAGACTGTTCCATTTTGTCTTGGCTGCTTTCCTCCTCCCTTGGGGATTGTTTTCTCTCAACTGTCAAAGAGTAATGCTTAAACATTAAAAACAAGACTTCAGGCTCATGTGACTCGAATAGGGAGCACCTCTGCCTGCTCTCAGTGTCTCTCCGTTGTGTCTGATGCCCTGTAGTGGGAAGGACATGGTTCAAGTCTAATACTTTAACATCATTTAGGAATGATGCCTCATGGTTTCCCTTAATGTCAAAGAGCATCCTTATTTTCTCTTTGAAAATATATTTAGTAAAGGAGTTTCATGATCTGAATATTTCTGAGTTTGTCTAGATCAGTGGTAGGCAAACTCATTAGTCAACAGAGCCAAATATCAACAGTACAACGATTGAAATTTCTTTTGAGAGCCAAATTTTTTAAACTTAAACTACATAGGTAGGTACATTGTTATTAACTTAATTAGGGTACTCCTAAGGCTTAGGAAGAGCCACACTCAAGGGGCCAAAGAGCCGCATGTGGCTCGAGAGCCGCAGTTTGCCGACCACGGGTCTAGATCATCCTTAAAACAACCATTGCTTGAACCCCGTGGATTCCTGTTTTTCAAAAACTTCCTTTTACTTCCCAAATAATTCTCAGAATCAACCTAGTGGAAGAATGTATTGGGTCTTAATATTTCATTGGTAGATGCAATAGGTATGATGCTTAATCACAGACATTGTCAGTACCTTTGGCCAGTAGCTGAAGTAAATTTGAGAAAACTGAGGCCACACAAAAAAGACACACATATACTAAAGAACACCATCAGTGAAAGCCTGCCAAGATAATTTCTTACTTTTCAGTAAGTCCCTGGAAAATGGGCATTCAATGAATGCATGAATGAATGAATTAGGAGAATGAGGGCATTTTTTTGTTTGGTTAGTTTATATCTTCCTTGGACAATAGCAACAGAACAGATTTAAATTTGCTTAGTAGCATTTACACTTTTCTAGGGTTTCTTCCTTTCTTGCATAAAGGTAGTAGTACTTCATGTTAGTTATATTTCAGACTACTCATAGTTTCAATAATCATGATAGCCCACATACACTGGGGCCTTGACTTATGAGTTTAATTCGTTCCGTGACGGAGCTCATAACTCAAATTACTCGTATGTCAAATCAAAAAGTGAACGAGTGAGACACGTGATACTGGGCTGATGTTGTGGCGTTCACTGTGACGTTCGCTGCGCCAACTAGTGGTGGGGTATCTGAAACTGGCTTGTAACCCGAATTTTAGCTCGCAACTCAAAGCAAAAAATTGGCCGAGAGACGGCTCGTATCTTGAAAAACTCGTTAGTCGGGACACTCGTAAGTCAAGGCCCCACGGTATCATATTATTCTTTTATATAATAACCAGAGGCCTGACACACAAAATTTGTGCGTGGGTACAGTCCCTAGGTCTGGCCTAAGATCAGGGCCATCTTCCCCAGCTGCCCGCAGCCGGCCCCGCCCCCTGCCACCACCCACCCCCGGTTCCCTGTTCACCATCAGGTGATAGGTGCCTGGGACCGAGAGTTCGGCTGTT